TGGGGGGGGTGTTTTCAATGTTCGTGTGTTGTTTCAAAATTATTACCTCGAATTATCTTTTAACGACGAAATCCAAATTTAGCTTTAAAGCCTCTCTTCGGCAAATAATAGAGTTACGGTGACGCTAAAAACCGTTATTGTCTCAGAGCGTCGTTAACGGTTAAATTAACGTTCCCGAGAGTCACGGCCAGACTTGGCTTGGGCCCCGCCCCAGCGCCTCGCGCCGACACTGCCTCCCCAGCCCCGCCGCACCACCCCTTGAGCGGCGCTATGCCGATGGGAAAAACCCAATGAAGATTCAAACAGCCGCCCTCTTCCCCCGCCCCCTTCTCCTTTTTATTTCGTGCCGGGATCTCCCGGCCTAACTGACCCCTCCCCTACGGCATGCTAAGGATGTGACGGGAAATTGCCTCGGCGCGTGTTGGGCGTGGCTTTCTCGTTCACTATTCAGGCCGAAGCTGGAGGAACCAATCGGCTGGAAGTTGCCTGCCTGTACCCATTCACTTAATGGCAGGAAGAGCCTAGCCTGTACTCCTGCAGGCGCCGTGGTTCAGCCTCGCCGTGTCGGGTACAAATGCTGGCGGCGACCGCGATACTCCTCGCACGTGCACGTGGCGAGGGCTGGCCCGCGACTGTCCTTGGGATGGCCGCCCGCCCCGCAGCCCCACCCCCTGCTACCGTGACCAACCTCACTCCCCTCACCCGCGAAATGGTTGTTGCAGTGGCGTTCCTTGCCGCCCGCTTTGTGAGACCCACTTTCTCTCGTTTAAAATGTCCCGACTTGTGGTCGAAACAAGTGGATGAAAATAATGCCTGGGGGTCGGTTTAAAGTCTCTGATTGTTTCACCCGGTTTCACCAAGTTACTCACCCCCACTGCCCATTGACAGGTCCACCCGATAAACCAGTCGTTTCCGTACAACAGGTTCACTCTTATGCACCCCCCCCCCATCCCGCGGAGTGCAGACAGACCCCAACATCACGGGCACCATCCAGGACCCTGACCCGGACGCGGCTGCGGACGCTCTTCAAAGCCCGTCCAG